ATCACAGTACAAAATCCACATCTATCCCTCAAATATATTCTTGATAAAATGCATTATACCCATTATGCTGCATGACAGTACAGAACTTTCATGTCTACATGTATCAGAACAAAAGTAATTAAAAAAATAAATAAATAAAATCAGCCTCACCTGATCTCTGACTCATCTGGCTCAATTACTCATCAGTTTTAGTTCAACCAATCAGGTCGCAAATCCCTGGCCCAGCCTATCTAAAGTGCTTTCTACAGTCCATGTGACAAAACCAAATGCTTGACTGTTGTTGCTTGTCTGCCATTAAGAACGATATTAGCCTCAGTCAAGAGTGAGATGTTTAAACAGGCAGATTAAGCAGACCATCATAAAAATGTGTTCTCACCAGCAGTGAACCGAATCACAGTTAGCTTGGAAGTGGATGGAGACCTACGATTTTTGGCAGACCACAGTTCAGCTGTTTGATGCAAACTAAGGGTCCATTGACTCTGGTCTAACACATCTAAAACAACTCAAGAATATCTTTTTAATTAGTTGGTGACTTGAATTAGTAGAATTAAATACCTTTTGGTCATATTTATTTGACCATCAACCCCCCTAGAAAGCCAGAGCCTCAAAAAACATACACAAAAAAGAACAACACTGCTTAGTAACTTCATCAGCCAAATACAGCTAAAAATGTACAAAGTGACCAGCAAACTGGATGTGCAATCAAACAAGAAGGCAAATGAGAGCTCGTCTTAAATTTCTTTGTCTAATATCCTACATATCTTGGCTATACACAAATAAACATAATATAAGAAAAATATAACATAACAAATATAATCTGCTGTGCCTTATATGCCATAACGTACTTTAGACTATGGGATGGCCTTATTTCTTTTATCCTACATCAATTTTTTTTATTTAAAATCAGATCATGTGACTGATTTTGATTGTAGATCTATTAAGACCACCTAACATTACTTTTCATTTCTGCCATGATGATGGCCTACTAGTCAAAATGCTGGTGACATGACTTCATAAACTCAAGTGCAGTTAGAGGTATGGTCTGTACTAAACCTTATATTGATGTTAACGCTATTTTTTTTTTTGCATAGTTCACCCACAGAGAAGTAAACAAAGTCATCTAGAGTATTCTGATATGAAATGGGTTATTGTAGAAAACCTTATCGACTCATCAATTTCTTTACTGTGGCAGTGATTGTGACATTATTATATTTTTATAAGCTCTTTGTTGGAACAATGCTTGATAAGAGCTCTATTAAAAGGGCCCTCAGATGGCTTTCAGGCTTAGAAGGTCATATGCACTGACCAGACTTTATCTGAAAAATATCCTAGGTCTGTTCACTCATATCAGCTTATGAAATTCTGAAACATGGTGTTTGCTTTTCTACATACCTTGAAATGAGAAGGGCCAAGAACACACAGGCACTTTCCAGGGGCTTATTGAGGTCGACTATCCCCTTGGCAGACATCAACAAGAGGGTGGAGCATGCTGATATATCCAAAATGTCTCCACCAAGAAACACCAGGGGAGCAGAAACTGGAGATGGAGCCCAGACTTGTGCTGTGCATCTCAGCAAATTAATCTGTACAAGTGCTTTGACGTGGGACATAGGAAAATGACTCTCCTATGGGGCACTGATTTTCAGTTCTTCTCATTCAGGACAACCGTTGAGACTTGCACATGTGGTGGAGCCTGTGCTTTTGGAAGACACGGCAAATTCTTGGAAGCTCATCCAAAGGGTCTGAGAAATCAGGAACAGGTGGAGGTGATATCTGAGGTCCCACAGGCTCAGGTGGATGAGACAGCTGAAAGCTTCCATTTTCCCTGTGTGGAAAGAGTAGTCTGTATTTCAACAATAATCCAGCTTTTACTGATTGATTTGTACTGTTTTGCTTGACTCTGACCCTGTAATATGTTTTATGAGTAAATGCATCTCAAGGGCTCTCTTTTAAAAAGTTTTATTTAATTATTTATTTTACTCATTCAGTTTATCATGGAAAAATGAACGTATGTATATTATAGACCCCTTTGGATGTATTTACAGTTAATGGAAGACATATGGAACATACTGAAGTCCAAATGTTTATATTAAATAAAAAAAGGACATGAACATTCACATTCTCCCTGCCTGCTTCCCCTGCTGTTACAAATACTATGTTGAAAATTAAATGTAAAAATGCATTTGGATATGAATTTTCCTGTCCTTCACATTTTTATTGACTGTCCTATTAATGCACACGCAACTGTATCCTCCATATGCCAACTAGAGTGTCTGCCAACTGTATCTGAATATAGACTGCAGAAATTATGTCAGTTTTCAATGGCAGCTTTTCAACATTTTTGTATGCATGATTTACTACAGGAGTCCTATAAAAACTTACAGTACCTATGGACAATTATTATAGTTTTGTGGAGTGGGGCACAAACTAATGAGGTCAAATCTAACAGATGTAAATATGTAGTTAAATAGCTTCAAGAAAAATGCAAAGAAACCACCAGAAACCACAAAAAAACACACAAAAAAGATTACAAACTAATTTTTGATTAACTAAGATAAAATTCTAACCGCTATAGGCTGCGATTTTACTCACAGCTTTACTCATCATCCTGATTTTCACTCCGAGCATGAAACTAAACACACTCCAGCTCAGTGAGACTCAGCAGCTGCCCAAACGGCTAAACTAAGGCTCCTGTTGTGTCGGTTAGCCAGAAATTGTCGTTTAAAAAGCTGCATTTTTGGTTGTTTTCAAAGAAATGTTAAAGAATAAACACAGTGGCTATAGATAATTTGTTTTATTCAGTTTAACTTGTACACATCGTTCTCTTCTAGGCTGGATATTTTGGTCATGGAAAAGTCAGAGCCAACTGCCATCATGGCTTTCCATGGCACTGGGTTTACTGATTGGTTCTGAATGTGTATCGTCATGTTAGAGACTTACACGTTAGTCTTTACTAGTTGAGATTTGACTTATGGATTTGGAGTGCAACCAAATTTAGAAAAAGGATAGTATGAAACTAACTAATGTTAAATAAGAACTTTTTTCTAAATTTTACACCTAGATAAGCATAAACCCTTGTGCAAGCCAGTCCAGGGCTGTCCAAAGCAGTATGGCAATATTTATTGTTATTGTGATAAATTACATCACAATGTTTCACAATATGCTTTTCTGAAGACATTGTGGATTTCATTAGTACGTAAAAATCACTTCCCAACTGCATGTTCGATTAAAGAGGGCATAATTGGTCCTGTTTAATTGAATTTAGCGCAACACAGAGCATGAAATGTTGAATACAAGTGGAATAGTTTATCGTATTTCTAAAATAGGGCACTGCTTTGTCTGGTCTAACTTATCAGATGTAAGAAACAGTGTCATGACACCCTGTGTTTTGTAAACTTTCTGAAATATCATATTACGTTTTGCCATATTACCCACCTCTAGTCCAAAGTGTGGTCTGTAGGCCAAAGTAGGTCCAAACAGGTCCAAGCAGTTACACAGTGAGATATATAGCAATATCTTATTAAATTCTTATTTTCTTTTTAAAATTGCAAATTGCACTGCTGGGGCCGTATTACATCTTAGAACATCTTACGTCTGAAAACTTATCTGTTTAGTTAACATGACAACTTCAGTTAGGACTGAATTTAGGACAGAAGCTATTACAGTTCTCAAGTTCATCATCTTTACAGAAACATCCTAACTAGACAAAATTTCTTTAATACTGTCCCAACTCTAAGACTTCCGTTTTAACTGTCTGTTTCTATTGTTTTATGCAGTGACAGGCAGCATAGTTCACTATAACTAGCATAATGATGTTACATATATCTACGTTGAAAATGGTGCTTTGACATTTTTGTTTCTAACAGCGTTTTAAAAGACTCTGCAGACCTGATATCCACCGTCCTCTCTTAATACCTCCATGCGTTAATGTTGATGAGAACTCGTTAGATGAAATATTACAGTGACGATGGTGAATAATGTGGAGACAGAGCTGAACGTGTGTCTGTTTATTAGGAGGAGTAATGTTAGCACGGCCAGCTCAAGTGTTAGAGAAATGGAGACTGAAACTGGAAACGCTCTGATAAACAGCGTGAAGCACTGTCACAATATTCCTAACTTCAGGTTTATCACACTTTAGTTTTGCTTGACCTTTTCTACATTAGTAATGGTAGCTAATGTTAGCTGTCTGGCTAGCTAACTTATTTTAATTGCATGTTTACATTTCAGCCCTGTAATGGACTGGTGACCTGTCCAGGGTGTATCCTGCCTTCCACCCAATGACTGCTGAGACAGGCTCCAGCTCCCCCCGTGACCCAGAAGGATAAGCGGTCTAGAAGATGTGTGTGTGTGTGTGTGTGTGTGTGTGTTTACATATCATCTGCGGGCGTAAGGTCGGTTGCTAGGTAACAGACATGACAGTTGATTGTCGACATTGATCGAGTAGGTTAAGATTTCCTAACTTGAGATAAGATGCTGTATGAGAAGATAAGATTCCTAAATTAAGATTTGCTTTTGTAATATAAATATCTTAATATCTAAGACAAAATATCTTAAATATCTTAAATATCTAAGACGAAAAGACAGGAAGTTTCTGCAATATGGCTCCTAAAGTATAAAAAACACTTCTAAAAACATTTGAAACCTACTTTCTTTAGCTGTTTGTATACTGTTTTGTATGTTTGTTGCTTGGCCCACCACAAACATTGCACTTTGGCACCAAAGATAGAAAGATCAAGATAAAATTCCCTACTATAAAAAAACAAAACCCTACTATAGATCTGTGTTATAAGAGTGTGCTGGACCAAAACTGGGTGTAGTGGAGGGCAGAACATGAATACCACAGCACAAGTCTGAGCCTGAGGAAATGAATGATATCATAAAGCCAAGTGATCAAACTATTACCCTCTGATCACATGAAGGCCATCAACATATTTGCCTCCTCTTAAACAAAACCACCTCCTTCTCTGCACTGTGGTCAGTCATGTGGGCTGTAGCCTACCTCGAAAAAAAGTAGCCCGTGTTGTTTGGTAGGAGGGGTCGACAGCAGCCTTGCATTTCTTGGGGAAACAAGAAACGGCTTTAACACCGAGTCACTGCTGCTTCTTCACGGCGCCTCAGGTTCTCTTCAGAGCGACAACATGGAGCACGCTGGCCTGACAGAGCTGATCTTCCCAACGGCGTCGAGGAGCAGCTTATGAGGGGTGGGCGTTTTAGCTACCTGTGAGGAGAACGACAACTGAAATTGTAACGGGATAAAACTTTTTTCGCTAATTTTGGACGTTTCTGTCTTTTCTGTGAGGAAACGAGCAACAGGTTTCTAACAAAAAGCTGTCAAACATTTACCTCAGAATGCTTCGCCGATCCGCCGCGCGCGCTTTCTGAGCTTTTTGGGCTTTTTGAGCTTTTTGAGCTGTGTGATGATAAAGTAACCGCCGTTATTACTTTCACTGGGCTGCTTTACGGAGGAGGAGAAGGGAACAAACAAAGATGAGAACTGGCAGATTTTTCCTTTTTTCGCTCGTTTTCTTGGCGGGGCACTTTATCTTGGCCTGCGCTCAGGTGAAGGACTCGAGCCAAAGAGCCGAGGCTGAGCGGGACAGGTTCATCCAGCGCAGCGCCAACATGTCTGCGCCTCGACGGCCGCGGCTTCTGCCGCCCATGTGCACGGGCCCCACGGAGATCAGAGACACCTTCAAGTACATCAACACGGTGGTCTCATGCCTGGTGTTCGTGGTGGGCATCATCGGCAACTCCACCCTGCTTAGGATCATATACAAAAATAAGTGCATGCGTAACGGGCCCAACATCCTCATCGCCAGTCTGGCTTTGGGGGACCTGCTGCACATCGTCATAGATATTCCCATCAACGTGTACAAGGTGGGCCCCACCATTAGAAACACTACATCAGTGGTCCCGGAGTGCCCCTGCCCCGCACAGCTGAGTGTTTCCCCTGCGTTAACACACCCACGAAGGGTTCATTAGCTGATGATGTGGGTCAGCTGTGTCAGGGCAGCGGCACAAAGCTGTGAAGCACAGCAGTAGATGAGGAGTGAGGAAGCATTGGCTCAGTGATCATTAAGGATGCTTATGCAAATATGTAGGATCTTGCATGTAGTAGAGTGGGTTTAGTGGGACACACAGGGTATAGGTTCAGAGTGATAAAGTTATTAATTTATTATTTTTTTTAATTAGCAAGATGTTCTGTTGCTCATTTAGAATAAAAAGGTTCTAAAAAAATAAACTGTCCAAATATTATTAATATTATTATTAATAATATATATTATTAGTATTAACATTATACTTGCTTTGTTCTGACAGCAGCGAATATATATATACATGTGTATATGTACATAAATCTAGGGTACACTCATCCCACATTTAGGCTCAGAGTTTGCCATTTAATATTCTCACAATATTTTAAACAAAATCTGTATTAATTAAGAAAAAGCATGAAAGCATGAGTGTTGAAACTGTGCACCTAGCTTATTAGATGGCACAATTCTCAGTGTCATGATTCATTGTTTAAATCCATGTACACATACATGCCTACATACACACACACATAGATACACACCACGATTCAGTTCAGTTGTTTACAGTCAGGATCAGTATTCCACGTTGTGGCATGTGACATGAACATGTGAACATGTGTGAGTTGTTGATTGGTGCTAGTTTTTGAAAGTTTGGAAGTTTTTTCCACCATGATATCACAATGATATACAAAAGCTGTGCTTTTCACTACATTTTCTACTATATAATGTTATAGTAAATAGCATAGCCAATTTTATTTGTCTTATAGCTAAAGTGTGTTATTTGATTATTTATAATAATGTATTATTAGTTGTTATTCAGTGTTTTTAAATATTTATCATATTAAGTACAATCTGTATGAGACAACTCACCAGCCTGTGTGTCTGTTTGCGTAGTTATCTTCAGTAGCTTAAATGCGTTCCAGAAGATTTCCCCTCAATTTGGAGCAATCTCCACATATGTTTCCAATATGCATTACGAAAGCGTGAAATGATCCCGTGTATTTGTTTTCTGTGCAAGAATTACAACAGATTATGCATTATGCAATTACAGATTATGCATTCTGCAATTATGCTAATCATATTAAACATAATTGCATAAGCACGGTGTTAAATTAAGTTAAAGGTGTTTCATGCAAATGTTTCTAAAGAGACTAAACAGAGATCTCAGTGAACAGAACAGAGTTGTGTTTGTTTCATTTATTTTCCTCCAATAGATCCTGCATACATTTACACAATTTTACACACAGTAATAACATATGAGCAGTAATATGTTGTAGATATCCAGAATATTTGCACTTCCTGCTTACATGTAAGCTAGTCAAGGTTCACAATTGCAAAACAAAGGGTTTTAGTCAAAACACAGTACTGCATAAACAAACTGATCTGAAAAAGCAGCCGATACCAAACACTGTACTCAACTGCCATTTAGACATTTTTTGCCCTTTACAGATTAACTGAGTGCTGATTTTCTCTTTCAGCTTCTGGCTGAAGACTGGCCTTTTGGCGTTGGACTCTGTAAACTGGTACCTTTTGTTCAGAAGGCATCAGTTGGCATCACAGTGTTGAGTTTATGTGCCTTAAGCATAGACAGGTACACATCCTTCACCGACATTATTATCACACACAAGTTTGCATTAATGTCATGCTGTGCCTCCTTGTTTTCACTCTTTGCTACATATAAATTGAGCCTATTGTTTAGGAATAACAACAAAAACCTGTATTTGTGGTATAACAGATGATATGTCAGGTTTCATAGGTAATATACTTTCATCTGAAGGCTACAAAGAAAGCAACACTGAGATCCTAATCTTTCTAACCTCCGGTCTGTTTTTCCAAGGTACCGCGCAGTAGCATCCTGGAACCGCATTAAAGGTATTGGAGTGCCTAAGTGGACAGCCATCGAGATCACTCTGATATGGTTTCTCTCCATTGTCCTGGCAGTGCCAGAGGCCATTGCCTTTGATATGATTGCTATGGACTACAAAGGAGAGCACCTCAGGATCTGTCTGCTGCATCCAATGCAAAAGAGCCAGTTCATGCAGGTATGTCTAACATGACTGCAAGGCTTTATATCACCTTATATATTTCTTTGGGCCCGAATTATTACAGTGGACTAAAAGCTGGTGTCAATAGCGTTTTTACACAATGAACTGAAAATTGGGCACGATTTAAGTGCTGTCCCTGGAGAATGGATTCAGTAATTCATGTGTGAGGTTCAAGTGGACAGCCATTAGAAAACTTTGGTCACATATTCTTTTTGAAGCTAAATATGCTGTTAATGTGGTGCCAGTGTAATGTGATGTGCTTGTCTGTTGTCAGTTTTATAAGTCAGCAAAAGACTGGTGGCTGTTCAGCTTTTACTTCTGTATGCCGCTGGCCTGCACAGCCATCTTCTACACCCTCATGACTTGTGAAATGCTGAGAAAGAAGAATGGCGTCCAGATTGCTCTGAATGACCATCTGAAACAGGTCAGTATTAGGCCTGTTGCAATTATTACATAATAGTCGAATCACAATTATTTGAACTGACTGCAGTTATTTAAACTGACTGCAATGGTTTTCCACAGTTGTTAGTTTTCACAATCATATATTTATATCGTAACAAACTGAATGTGGGTACGTTTTCAACCGTTGGGTTAAATAGGTAATAATTAAAGAATTTACAGTTATTACAGTTTTACAAAAACAACAAAAGTCCTAACTGACTGGTGCTATAACATATTTAGAGGGCAGTGGCGAGTAATGTTTGTTTTAGCTCAAACTGTGTGTGTTGTTAGTTGGAAGCTAGTAAGCAAAATAGTTAATTAAGCCACTTTAGGCCATTAGTAGTTTGTAATTTAGTAGTTGCTCACAGTGTACTAAAAATACAAATTGTTAATCCAAGTATTTATATGGCATTTAATCATCAGCTAAAATTTTAGACAGGCCTCGTTAGTACACTAGGCGACTGTACAGAACCTTTGAATTTCATTCCTACAGTCCAAAGGCCTCTGTCAACAAGTGCAAATTTTTTGTGCAACAGCATTTTGTAAGCAAACACTTGCAAACTGTATGGAATGCCTTTCAGAGTATTCTGTTCCCATGTTTTCCATGCTCTGCGCTACACATCTGCAAACTCCATGTGCAGCTAATTCATCGTTTAAGGAATTGCTGACTGGAGCTTGCTTCTGATCTTCATGGCGTCAAGCAGTAGTAAAGAGATGAACATTTTGTTTTTGGGATGTAAATCTCTGACATAACAATAATTCAGTTTGAAAAAATTTCTTTAGGAATGCATCTCAGATATCACCACAATTTGATTATTTTGGTACAAATACGAATTATTTTTTAAAAATGCACTAATTATGGGAAGGAAGGCACTATTCACACAGTTGTGGAATATACTTAAAAAAAAACAGTGAAGCATAAAAAAACAAGAATCTCAATTTATTTATTTGTTTTATTATTTGAGCGCAGCAGCCTCCCTTTATATTATGTGCAACTTTCATGATGAATGGACTAATAGAACTGCTAAAAAATTGCTTGGAATAAGAAATGTTTACATTAACCTACATTAAAAGTAAAGAATGTTTTTGGTCCCTCCTGTAAAGTCTCCAAAATTTTGGAGATAATTGTTTTATTTATATGTTTTATGATAGTATTTTTTATTTACAAGTTTGAAAACAGCCCAAAACGAGTGCATGCTTTACTGAACATTACTATAATCAATTAGAATAGATTCTAACTTTCCAGTATCAAAGCAATGTGTAAATGCTACCTTCAGATCAATGCACTCGTGTTGTTCTTATACCCCTATTTCTTTTCCATAGCGACGTGAGGTGGCCAAGACGGTGTTCTGTCTGGTATTGGTCTTTGCCCTCTGCTGGTTGCCTCTGCACCTGAGCCGTATCCTCAAACTGACCATTTATAATGAGGAAGACCCCAACCGCTGTGAACTTCTGAGGTAAAAACATGCACATACCCACCATTAGAACTTTGGTGGCATGTTTTATCATGGTTTTCCTTATGCACCAAATGTACTCACTGTATACTACTGTATGAATTTGTACAGTACTTCTACTGTATTTACGTTTCACTACTCCTGTTTTGTTGACGTTTTGTTGATTTTCTAAGTGAAAATAAGTTAACACTTTCTCTACATGTAACAAACTTAAATATGATATTTTATGACATCATAACCTTCACACAGGCAACATTTTATGTTTTATTCCCCCAATATGTAAATTCAGCAAATAAAGAGTAATTGTGTATTAAAATGTGCAGAAGTGTGTTCTCTGTAGAGAATGTCAACTTATTTTTTCTTAGAAAATCAAGAAAACGTCATTTGACCAGGTGCGCATACAACTGTACATGTTGTGTTATACTGTTTGCCTCCAGCTTCTTCCTTGTCCTCGACTACATTGGGATCAACATGGCATCAGTGAACTCATGCATCAACCCAATTGCTTTATACATGGTCAGCAAGCGCTTCAAGAGCTGCTTCAGGGTAAGTTTATCAAATTTTTATTTATCAAATGCCCTTTTATGCTGCCTGTGCTGTTAAGTAAGGTAGCCAATGCAAGTCACAAGGCACTATTCTGGGTGCTGACAGAAATATAACCTCAATAAAAAGTACGGCTGTTTTCTGATATTTCTGAACAGTTACCTAACACACTGGTTATGACTACTTGGGCAGAGTGCCTAATTAATATCTGGCAAGGCAAAATGGATGGCTTTAAAATAACATCTTAAAAATATTTACATAAAGTCGTGTGTTTGATGCGATTTTGATGATCTATTTTTGTCCCTGCTTGTTCAGCCCCAATTCTTATCACTGAATGCATGTTAAATCCATTTAGCATCAGAACTTGAAGTCAGTCCTTCATGTGAACTTTTATTCAATTTCATTCCAGTCAGGTCAGTTGATTATATTGTTATTCAGTGCCTATTTGTTGTGTCCATCCTACATTCAATCTGAAGTATAGCATTTCTCTCCATTCTTTGTGTTCAGTCTTGCCTGTGTTGCTGGTGCCTGCCTCCCGAGATGCTAGCCATGGACGACAAGCAGTCCTGCATGAAGCTGAAAACGACGGATCGAGGATCAGAACAAAGCAACAGTCGAATCTCTAACAAGTACACGTCCACTTAACTACTGGGCTGGGAACACTAGTTTTGTGAAACTAGCTTTAAACAGAAATTTCCCAAACCCAGATTGGGCCCAAGCCTAGACTAAAGAGATCTTCAATGAGGATTCATTATTCGCATTGCAGCTTAGTCCAAGACCAGGCTTAATCCGTGACTGGAAAACTAGCCCTAACTTAGAATTATTTCAGGGTCTGGTCTGGCATGATACAGTACATAATTTGAGACATTATTGGGGTCTTTGTCGCAACTACTGGGCCACAAAAGAAGCTGGGTTCTCTATACCTAGATGGACACAACAGTATTTGTTAGCAATGGCTCAAAATTCCCATTCATGGGAATCGTGTGTCCTTCAACATTCATTGTGCATTGTCATCTGAATGGATCTATGGGTCCTAGGGGTATAAAAATACATCTGAAGGTGATGATTCAACTGCATCTATGGTTTAATCAGAGACAGACTCTAATAATATTCAAGTATGCACTCGTTTTCTTTCAAAGGTAAAAAATCCCATCATAGTATATTGTTTTTATTGCTTATTTTTCACTACGTAAATAGTTTCTCCAGTTACATTTATGTATTCTGTGTTTTTAAAAAAATCCAAATTGTACTGTAATTGTATAAAATCGAATTATGGTGAAATTTGAGATTTATGATGCGTTGAATCGTTTCCTAAAAAATCGAACTGAATTCTTGTGAGGTCAAAGATTTACACCCTTTTGGTTCCAGTATAGACTTGGTGGCCAAGTATGTAGTTTTCCTTTTGGCTTGCTTGGTGGAATTCTTTTCCACTAGACAGATCTAGTGAGATGCTAGACCATTTCTTTGTGCGTTGAAAGTTATAAATGAATGCTAGCATGTATTACGCTTTGTAGTCTATATAAAGGCCAAAGAAAGATTACTCAAATGTACTGATGTAATTATGTTAAACGTTCAACCGCACTTAAAGGCCTGGAACTACAATGCCTGCTTTGTTCTGAAATTGCTTATCCAGAGACGACATCTCTGTTGGATATTCCAAAGGTTTAGAGACAATGGCCCTATTTCTTCAGCTCCTTTATCGCTACATAACTATATTTACTGAGTTAGAAGATTTCCCAGAACATGACAGTTTCACTGAAGGGGGCTGAATGTTGAACTGCAAATTACAGATGCTTGTAAAATGTGTGCCATGTGGATTTTGAGGACTGTGGAAACTATTGTTTCAAAACTGATATGACCCTTTCGAATGGGTCAGAAGAGAGTGTGTGATATGTTCTGTCCTTCCAGTAATGGAACTGCCTGCAGTACGGAATAATATACATTTTCCAATGCATTAAAAGCTCTTGTTTTAATGTTTAATCAAATTATGCTTATTTGTGTGTCATAAGGTCATTATATTAGTTTGAATGGAAATACTTAAAACATATAAAAATGCAGAAATTCATCTCACTGTTATGTAATAGTCAAAGCTGTAGGCTGGTAGGACCAAGAGCTTATGATAGTTGTGCCTTTTATCTGCTTTGTATCACAGTATTAGTGGCTGACTCTGCTTCCTTCTTTAATGCAGGGATTTTCCAGATGGTACCATGTGTGCCTTGTCTATATTTTGATAGCTTAGAGTTACTAAGATATGCCATTACATGCTGGCAATAACTTTATGATCTGTGTGGTCGTATGATTTGTTATATATCTTGATATTAGTAATTGAAAGTCTTCAATGTTACTCAATTGAACTGTGATTGTAACTCTTATCTGTTGAAGGTCTTAGAGTTGATGTACATGTCATACATCATCTAAAAACAAGCTGTTTTGTATTTACTGTGTGTTATGTTTTTGTTTTGAAAAGACAGAATGTATCTATTACGCTTTCTGTATTTGCATTTTTGTGCTAGCAAGGAGGCTAAATGTGTTATTAGCATTGATCAAATTTGAATATATCCTTCTCATGACATGATCAATCTCTGTTAATCATATCCGACTTTCTGTTCGGATAAAGAAACGACAGAACTGGGTCAGAAAGAAAGAACCGTTATGTGACCAAATCAGCAGAACTTACTGAACACATGCAGCCCGCTTGCTTAATTATGGACTTAAATTAAGGTAATAAACTTTTGTGAGTCTTATAAAGATGCTACAGAGAGCATATTGGAGCAACTCTTTCTGTTGATATACGGGCTTTGAACTGAAACTTCAATAGTTTCAACCTCACTTGTTTCTTACTAATAAAGAGCATTTGAACTGAATGGTCTGTTGTACAGAATTGGGTTATGACCTAAATATGCCTCGTGTAAGACACACCATGACCTATCTGGGGTTATACAGTGTTGCTCCAACAAAAGTGATCTCATTAATCTTTATCGCACTTATTGGCTTTATCTGTGCCCTGCCTTATGCAGAGGTCACAAGATTTACAGGAGCGTTACTGAAGGCCATCATGTGAGAGACTCTGAGTACACTGCCTTCTCTTATGACTGCACTAACGTCCCTCCCTTCCCCTAAGTGATCATCACGCACGCCGCATTAATGCCGTGAAAGGTCCCCTCTGTATTTTTCGGGGCTGGAGTCCACCCCCCGTGTATCCTCCCTCTGGGGCTGTAAAATCGAGAACAGCAGCACCACTGACTGTCAGAAAAATCAAGCCTTGACCATCAGAGCATCTTGCCCTCGACTTGCTGTTACCTATCATCTGAGGCCCTGGTTCTGCACAAAATCAAATTTACTGAATTTTCCCCTTTTTATTTTACATTTTTTTTACATTTTATCCCAAATGTAGTTGACCAGCCAAGACATATTTGTTGCCTGAAGTTTGCTTCTGGAGTTGTGCAGCAGAGCTAAGAGTCTAATGTAGCCAACAAGTCATGGAAGCTTAAAACAATCAATTAGCATCATACAAAGTTCAAGTTTCCAAGATGTTTTTAGCTTTGTGATGTATTGTTTGGCCTATTTCTGCAGATATGTGTGTCGAACAGTGTCAGAAACCATACTCTACATGGTTTGAAGCAAGTGAGATGATTTACCCCTGCAGCTTGTCAATGCTAACTGGTGGTTGTAAGCTCCCATTACTTGTTAGCTAGCTTTCATTAGCCTTGTTGATCCAGTGGCTGATTGATTACATCTGTTTACCTAAAATTGCTTTAAATGACCTAAAAGTTTAATTTCCGAGGCCATTTGTCCATGGAAACAGTGAGGGACAAATGAAGAGATGTTCAAGGGTTTCGTCAAGTAGTTTTAAGCCTTTTTTTTTGACTTAATAGTGTTTTCTCTTCTTGGGTCCATGAATTCTAATGTTTACTTGTTTTCTATTAATGAATAGTAACAACTATTATTGTCAATATCGTGCGTTCCACTATGTAATTGCATTTTGTTCTAATGCTCTATGCAGTAAACATTCTGTTTAGGCTTTTTTCCCCCTTCTGCCACTCAAAAATGTTAAAAAATTCAAACAGCATGGAGCGTTTCAGCTTCAAAGGAGATTCTTGGATGAGAATCCTCTGCTGCGCTCTCTGCTTTACCCTCTTGGTGAAGAACACGCCACAAAAATAGTTGGCATGAATATTTGGAAAAGCATCCAGATCTCTTGGGTTTGGAGAACTGTTATCTACTCCGAACTTCCCACAGTCTTCCTCCATTTGACAAATCCACCCCATGTGTAACCACACAAACTACAGCAACAGTCTAACACTGTACCGCAGGCCATCAATTATTCTAAAATCTATTCTGTTGCTCTCAGAGTGGTGTAACTACCAATAATGCAAGAGGGGCGATCGCACTGGGACCTGCGGTGATTGAGCAAAGTTACACCTGTGACTCATGGGTAGCTACAAAAAGTTAATAATATACCTTAAGTTTAACTTAGACAGGGTGCTTAAATTTAAATTTTACAAAACCTAACAAATGGAACCACAGTGAACTCGTTTTATGAGAGTGGTCAACAACTTTGTGTTAAACCAGGTTTAGATCCTCGTGTTTAATCCTTGTGTTTATGCCCATGTAAGCATGACATTTATGAATAGCCAACTGGATGAAACATGAGGAATCAAGCAACTTATTTTTCAATGAAGGAAGAAGAAATCATACAATGTAAATATGTAGAATGTAATTTATAATTGTGAAAAAGAAACACTGTCAGCACTACTACTATACTATATTAGTGCTTACTGTCATACTATTTGCTTTACCTTCTTAACATCCATGTCGTATATCACTGCTGTCGGGACAAAACCTTCTATCTCCACTTTTGTTGTTTTTCAGTTTTTGTCATTATTTGAAAATGCCTGTTGCTTTTTAAATTGTGTGTCAATTTCATGATGAATGGGCCAAAAATGACACAGAAAAAAGTCTGGTTCCATTGACTTACATTAAAAGTAAAGAAGGTTTTTTCCTTCTCCCGTAAAGTTATCATTTTGGAGATGCAAGGTTTTGTTTCAACAACAGTGATATATTTCCTCTGCTAAAAAAGGGATATTCTTAACCTAATTGACACCAAAAACGTCCAAAGAACATGACTATGTGTATCCAGATCCATCAGAAGGCTATCGCTGATTGATCAGAAGGTCTGCCCTGATTAATCCAAGAGCTGTCCATAATACAGAATCCCAGACTTGCAGCATAAGCTACCTTGGTGACATAGCCCTGTACATAGTGATCCACAGTCATAAAACAGAAAATCCAGGGTTAGATTGAAGTAAGCTTAATGTTAACCAGCCATCTCCTTGCGAGACAGGCCCCTGCTTGATACACAGTGGGCAGCAAGTAAATTACATTGTCATTTCTTACGTGGTTTTTGTTTCCTCAAGAGCTCATAAGATCCGATTTACGCCTCTCTCTTGAACCTGCTTGTGTTACTTATCGCTGCCAACCAGTTGACATAATATGATGCCAAAAGACCAAATCTGGAGGATGTCATTATCAGATATGTCTTGAAGGCCAAACCCGTCAGTATGAATTCCATTTATGCTGTGAAAATGCTGTTTGACAAACTGTCCATGGCTCTGCAGAGACATCCCCAATCAACACACGGGCCATCGTCACACAACGTCCCCAAGGTCAATAAAAAGTATCAGCACTGATTGTGTTGCCTTATTTGAACGATGCTCTCCTTGCACAGTTCGCCAGTGCAATTTTGACTGACAGCCTGCAAGAGAAAGTTCACTAAGTTACATCTGGCTCAAGTTACACTAACATTTGGAGAGGAGAGTGAAAATGGGCCCGCACATACTTTTGGCTTAGCAGTTCAAACACTTCAGAGAAAAATAAATGTTGAAGTAATCAAAGGCTCAGTGCTGGGAAGCAGAGAGAGAGCCAGAGAAAGGTATGAAGGGGCCTTGTGCAGTCCCTGTCTCTGTTTGCCAAAAGGAGGTGTAGAAAGAAATGAGATGGCTTTTTTCTCAATTGATTATTTATTTATTGTCAAATAGGTAAACATATGGATAGGCTGCAGTGTTGTAGACACTTGGTCATCTTATAGTAAAACTTATTTGAATGAAAATGAAGTACATTTGTTGTCAGTATATTCCAAAACATAAACCTAAAGGACACTGGGCCTCACTCACCAAGTGTTCTTAAGAAGATATTTCTTCTTAAAACCCACTTCCGCAGTTTTCTCGAAGATTCTGACATTCACCAATGTTTTCTTATTTGAGATTTGTTCTTAGGTAAGAACAGAATCAGTGCATAATCAAGAGCACAAAGGTGAGAATTCTGTGGTTTAAGAACACGTCATGAATCTGACGTAGACTTTTTCTTAGGAACTTTCTCAAGAACAAATTTAAGAAAAAACTTAGGATGATATTGGTGAATGAGATCCAGTGTTTGAAGAAATGGATCTGTGAATGTAAAGAACATTTCAAAAGTTTCAGAACCTTTACATTTGAAGGTTCTATACCAATTTAAGATGTACTTTGTGGAACATTATAGGGAGGTTCTTTAAACTTTCAAAACGAGTCACACTCACAAATGACGTTTAGAAAAATCCACTGAATGATTCTTTTCACTCTTTGGCACCTTTATGTTTACGAGTGTACAGTAAACTAAACAGTTCTTGGCTTGGACCTACATTTGTAGGGAAACTCTTTAATTGCTATACAACTTTTACATTAAAATTGATCTCTATTAAAATTAAAAGAGGTTCTTCAAACTTTCACACTTGCCAGAAGGTTCTTCAGAGCAATGCAATAGAACAACCACTTATGGTTTCCCTTCAGTGGATGGTACAGCCATTTTTATAAATGAGGTGCAAGTTTGAACAGCCTTTTTAGAGTTTTAAGAACCTCCACGTAATGTAAAGGTTCTATACCAGTTAAAGTTTTTTTCGTAGGACTGTACATCTAACCCAAGAACCATTTAGGAGCCTTTATTTATAAGAGTGCAAGGCAAACATTTCAGGCACAGTCCAGAGGAGTAGAGCCACTTATTATTGTTATTTTAATGCAGGGCAGTGCACTGCAACACATTTTCATTTAAAATCGTGTTACTTTGTGTTTCGGAAATCATTTCTACTGACTGCGCAGGGCTTGGGGCAAAGGAGGTGTTTTGATATCATTTCATTAAAGTATCTTTAACTACAAAAATGTTTGAAATGGGGGGAAAAAACTCCCTGAGGACCGAAGCAATCTGAATGTCAACAGAATAAAATGATGCTTAAATCAGATGTGTTATAAGAAAATGCCTTCAGGAGACCGAAGAGCCATGGTAAATTTTGGTCACGCTTGTTTTTAACTGAATAGACTGTGGAATCCAATCTGACATTATGAGGTGAGATGTTTGATGACATTTTAAGCCTGACAGTGATACTTCCTTAAGGAAAAAAAAGTTGAAAA